GCCATATGGCAAGAATCAATACATTAATCATGGGAAATTAAAACAGCTTACTTTCTAATTTCCTGTTACAGCTAGCAGTGCTGCAATTCTAACCCTCGCTTTTAGCCCGCACTGGACCTTGATGTTCTCACTGTGCTTCAGTGACCTTTCTTTTCTGATGTTTTAATCTTTTTTTAAACAACTGTATGTACTAATGTTTATTTAAATGCAATATAGTCTGTAGTCAAAGCGTCAATCTAAAGTCACCTATGGTATAAATAGGTCATTCTTTTCAGTCAGACTTTAAAGACAAAGAGTCCCATCCAGCATTTGGATCTAGTGACTGGACAACACAGCAGGAAGGTAAATCCTAGTGCTTTCTTTATTCCACTGCCCCCTGACCTTTTGTATAGGTTAAATCCGGTTTATAGGGTCTTTGAGAAACCTGAGAAGCTAACGGAAGTGTCGTCAAGTCTCACTGAATGAGAACAAGTAGATGGTGCATGAGGTCTTTAAACATGTCAGAATAGCAAGCCCATATTTGTGTAACCAAGTATTTTTTACTTATTCTTTGAAGTGTATCGTTTATTGTGGGCTTGATTCTCTGGTATTTAAATAAGCTTTAGCATCGTGGTGGCTTCTGTTCTACTGCTTTGAGACTTGACCTTGGCAATTACCACTGTCTGAACAGAGGAGACAGTGTAGTGGATGGATAACCTTTGGATTATCCTGCTAAGCTGAACTAGCAACATTAAAGGAATAGTACACCCAAAAAATGATTAGCCTTCATTTTCTACTCACCCCCATGCTGAACAACACTCTGGAGTACTTTTTTGATATCTCAAATGCATCTGGAGATCTGGGAGGCTTCTTGCTGTCTGCTGACATTCAAATAATGGAGGTCTATGGCGCCCGAGACAGAAAGGTCCATAAAAGTCCACAAAAAACGTGTCAATATTCCTCTATACTGCTCGTCCAATGTATTCCAAGTGTCCTGAGTGGGTAGCATCCAGAATTTACTCGAAACAAAGTCATTTAGAATGTTTTTAGAGCATAAACAGTAGTGTATAGGATTTCCTGAAAGCGCGCACATGCGCGCTCACGACGCTACGGAAGCCGGCAGACCAAACCAGATGAGAGTGCGCATTCAGCGTCTGCTCTGCCAATAATGCAAGCGTAGAAGAAGAAATGTGCTGTTTACCTGTGCAAAGAAAGAAACAACGGAAGAAAAATGTCTGAGGACTTCAGTGTTGAGGAAGAGCATGAGTTCTTTGCTGAGCTGAATGCGCTGGTTTGGTCTGCCGGCTTCCGTAGCGTGTATATATAGTGCGATTTCAAAACACAGATAATCCTAAGGCACTTCACATAGACAATTCAACCAGACGATACAGTCAGATTGGTTCAAAGTTTTCTATTTCAAATTTCCTCTGCAAAATTCTACAAATCGAAGCCCCTACCATTATTTTAAATGATAAACATTTGGTCCCTTGTTTCCCAGGTTGACAGTGAAGATTGTCTGAAACAACTTTGATTGACACAAAGCAGAATGTTTATTGATCATTTATTTGTTTTAAGATGCTCTGTGCAGGAAAAATGGACTTTATTATGGATTCAAAAGAATTTTCATCCTGAGTGATTTTTTTCCCTAAGTAACACAACTCAGATGGAAAGGGATACGTCGATTATACAGATGGAGCTTTCCAGCTGTAACTGCAACTAAAACTTTGATACTTTTGGATAGAGGGTTAGGGTTAGAACATCCTGAACAAAAAGGATTGTAAAATCTGGTGAGTTTATGGATTAGATTGGAGCTTAACAATCAATAAATCTTGCAAGTCAACTGTTTTAAAAGTTGCCTCCCCCAGATCATTACTACTTCAGATCGCTATTTCAAACCCCCTTATCTCTGTTGAATATAGTCTCCATAAAGTGGAAAGTATCTCTGGAAATTAAGTTAATTTTTATAATAAGACCCTCTTCCTGCTAATTTTGGACACCTGTATCCTGTCATAGTTAATGCATCCTGTGAGGTCAGAGGATCTCATTCTGGAAACAGATGCAGCAAGCATCAGCATGAATGCCGGCCACCCTGCTGTCACTGCGTTGTTTGCTGTATGGAAGCCAAACAGAGCCCTTGACGACGAGACAAGGCAACCTCCGGTAAAGAAGGAGAGAAGAGGAAAAAAAGAAAAACATATTGCAAAAGTAGGTATGTAGTATGGTAAGTGAGTCAAAATGAACCAGAACATTACCTGTCAAGCTGTGGTTCTGATTGGAATAAAGGTCTAAGAGTATATCTGCCCCTCATTAATGGACAATAACTCACAAAGCTAAGCCAAAGTTAGTGCAGCCTGTCATTATGGTTATATTAGTCACTGACTGAGCCACATATGTGATCATGCTGATCCAAGTCACAGTAGAACCTTCTATAAATACTCTGAAGTCGTCTGGATGCTTGGGAACAAGCAGTTAGTCGGGGCCAGATGTTCTCAAGAGATTTAGCCTTAGATATTCAAATACAGTAACAGTAATAATATGTGGAATGCAGGGAATCCCCAAATCACAAATTAACTAAGTTTCTAAAGCTATAATACATTAAGAGCAACAGTTTAAACCAAATATTTGTATGTGCTCTATAAAGCAACCTGTCCCTTTTTCTTACTGTCTGATAATCAGAGGTAGTCAGCTAAATTTTAGTTTCATATATATTCTAAAGAAGATTAACTTAAGACCTTTTTTAATGGTACCTTGTATGTGTTACAGCTTTAGAGTCAAACAACTTGGAAAATTATATGATCATTTGCAAAGCCTTGTCTTTTCTCATGCCTGCAACCGGTCTTTGCACAACTGTGTGCATCTTCCACACAAGCAAACATGGCATACTGCAGTTTTCAGTGAATACCAGTTACTTTTTAATATCAGGATCATTTTCTCTCTGTCATTATGGCTCTAACAAGATGTAGGAAAATTCTGGATTTCGATCAGCATTAATCCAACACACCCACCAAACTCAAATAGCAACTTCTCTTGTCTTTCCATTTTGAAGTGTACCAAAGAGAAAACATGAAGTCACGCTGTCTAGGAAGTTCCTAGACTGTGTATAAGAGAATTATCTGTGATCTAACTCTGAGTTTCTTGTTAGTGCCCACATGCAGTAATTACATGGTCATTAGCCTCTTGATTACTTTTTACTTTGGCCTGATGAGGGGTGTTTCTTTCAAATCGACTTACTGTGATTAAATATGTGTGGTTGTTCAATGATTTCCTTTCCCTTTTCAAATCTTCCACGGCTCATATAAAGATAATGAGAATGGCAGCACTACCCGTGATATACAGCAAGGGCCTGTCTGCTGATAAGAGAAAGAACCATTAATCTCTCTAAATCCTCCTGTTTGGAGCACTGACCCCTCCTCCACATGGTCTTCCTCCACCCCCTCTTCCCATGCTGTCACTCTCAGCCTGCACCTGTCACATTAGTCTCACATCCTCAGCTGCCTTTCCATATGATACGCCTCCTTCCTGTTACCAGAGACTATGTGTCATCCCTTTTGCATAGATTTATGAGTATTAGAGGGGAAAAGCATAGAAAAAGGTGAGATAGATTCAATACTAGAAATGTATGTGTCAACCCTAAGTGGCTCTATAATTGTGCTACATCTGGACTGGATTCATGCTTGTGCAAAAGCCAAAATATGGATTAAATACAATAAGATCCGGCAGAATCATGTATATATGTGACAAGACTAATCCTGCTTAAATGTGTGATGGCAGGAGAATTAAAACAACATATTGATAACAGATTGGTGTGTTGATAAAGGCAGCAAGTAGCAGAGAGCAGAACGTCTAGAAGGGAGTAGTTTTGGGGGATCAGCCTCCCTGACAGATGAACCAGAGCAGCTGTGGCAACAAACTGGATGAAATCAAGAATTAACAATCCTCACAGCAGTTTCTTTTTTTTTTTTTTGCTGAGTCAAAACCTGTGAGATAACCAGGGGAAGCAAGAAAATCCATAAAACAATTGAGGACTTGATTAGTTAAACCTTTTTTTAGGTCTTCATATATGCGTTGAACTTGAAACTAAAACAAAGTTAAATAGAACTGCTCCTATAGTACTGAAAGCGAGAGTCTGAGGCAATTGCATTTGAGATACATTTAATGTAAATTTATTAGCTATGATTTTGAAATTACTCCTCATAGCTCTGCAAGCATTAGTGTTGCAGCCACCTAGTATAAGTATAAGAATGGAGAATCATTGTTGTTACATCATGCAGAATGCTATAAAGCTATACCCTTCCATTCATGTGTTAGAGTGGCCCAGTCAAAGTCTTTAGTGATCAAAAAAATTTAAATCAACTGCAAAACTTTGAAACTGCTGTTTACAATTGCTATAACTCAAACTATTTGTTGATGCAACATATAAAACCACTATAAAATCTATCCATCCATTATCTGACATGCTTGACCCAATTGGGGTCGCAAGAGGTGCTGGTGCCTATATCCAGCTGTCAATGGGTGAGAGGTGGGGTACACCGTGGACAGGTCGCCAGTCCATCGCAGGGCAACAAACAGGACATACAACCATTCACACATACACTCACACCTAAGGGGACTTTAGAGAAGCCAATTAACCTAACAGTCATGTTTTTAGACTGTGGGTGGAAGCCGGAGTACCCGGAGAGAACCCACCCATGCTCTGGGAGAACATGCAAACTCCATGCAGAAAGACCCCGGCCTGGAAACGAACCCAGAACCTTCCTGCTGCAAGGCAGCAGTGCTACCCACTGCGCGACCCAACTATGAAATCTATTAAAGTTAAAGCATCAATCATAAAAATATGAACAGGTTAAATGGGTGTGAATATTTTTGCATGTGACAGCTTTAGTAAAATTCAGGGAATATAACAGGTGTTTACACTTAATTAATCTAAAGTCAACAGATTTAACGCGTTGTATCCAGCATGGATATAACGGATACGCTGACCACATGCCTGTAAACAAGTCATTTATCAGAGAGGGAAGGACAGAGAGGACTGCGCGCTGAGGCGGTGGAGACGTGTCACTTTCTTTGCGTGCGCGCGCGCTCGGGCGCGCAGCGGGATTATCATTACGCACGTTATGCGGAGCGCTGTTTGGGTGATGCGTTTAGTGGAGAGGGTTAGGGGAGCTGTGAGCGTCAAACCGGATAGTCAGCGACAGAATCAGCACAATAACCGGAGAGGGAAAGATGCGGGGGGATATTGACTCGTTTTCAGTCGGAGAAGATGCGCACCACTGAACAAAGGATTTAGTTTTTAGCGTTTTTTATGTAACGAAACGGAATCTCCCTTGTATTTCAACCCTGACACCATCAGCCGTTAGGATCAATGTCCGTTTGGCTCTAACGGGCTGAATCTCCGCTGCTTTGGAGTCCATGTGGAGCGACAGGAGCGTCAAACGCAGCAGGCTGAGCTCAGTCCGAAATGTGACATTTTTTAACTAATACTCAGCACCCCCATTTAAGCTTGCGACTGTGAACCCCCCAATACCAGATCACCTCTGTTTACAAAGATCAAGGTAGGAGCTGGTCATTGAATACTGATTGATTAAATCATGGGGGTGGGGAGATCCAAGCCCCTGGTTAATTTCGACTGTTGTGTTCTTAATATATCATTCAGATTATGTTTTATTTGGAATCGGGTGTTTTGTTTTTTCTTTCATAAATGAATCAGTAGTGGGAGAAAATGGGATGCAAATGCACCAATTGCATAGGTTTGTCACGATGGGAGCCTGCTTGGACACGCTCCTAACCTTAAGGGTGCATTTAAAAAAAAACAACAACAACAAAAAATCTAAGTCACATCAGATCTGTGTAAGACTACTGGTTTTTCAATCGTTTGCTGTTTTTTTACGCAGTTTTTTCATGACACAAGGCGTTTGAGTTTTCTTGGCTGCGCCTCCATTTTCATCCCACATCACATACTATGAGGGGAGGCATGGGGGTTTCAGCAGTGTCAATCAATTCTCTGTTCTCCAGCTTGGAGGTTAGATACCATTCTCTATTTTTGGATCTCTCACACACTCACGCATCTCAGCAACAATGGTTCATAGCTGCTTCCCCCCTCAAACAAACACACTCTTCTGGAACCCCCAGGGACCCTCCCATGTGGCCTTTATTGTTAAACGAGATGGGTGTGTGTAGAGGGAATAGAAAAATGAAAAAAAAGAGGCCTTTTCTAAATGTGTGATTGCATTTAACTGCCCCTGCAGGTCAACTAAAAACTAAAGGGAGACACCAAGATTTTTTTCCCCTCAGCACTGGACCTAAGAGTCTAATTTGACCTGAGCATTTTGCATGGATGGCAGACTTTCAGTAGGTCATTATATGACATATGAGCCTGTTGGCAGTGCTCTATTAAAGCTCCTGGGCCTTTTTTTTTATTGTGTTCTGTTTTCCCTCATGAATCAATACTCAGCTGAGTGGAGCTGTTTATTTTCAGACTGTGCATTCATCAGTTAGTTAGTCCTCTCTTGGGAAGAGATGACACTACCATTTCCTCCAGGCTGAAGCCATATGTAGCCAGTATGGATTACTGCACCGAGCCTGGCAATCGTGTTAATCCCCCCTGTGTTACAACCATAAACTTAAATGTTTTTTATTGCGATGTAAATGGGATAAATCAATGTAACTGGGCTGTAAATAGTGAAGAAGAAGATATGTGGTTCCTACATCTGTTCATGTTATAGAAAGCTGAATAGTTCGGTGTGCATATGTATTTAGCTTCCTACCATTTTTTGCTACTATCTCAGCTGCACCTTTTTAGGGTTCAAAATGTCGGTCTTTGCATATTTAGAGATACATTTTGCATAATCCTGTTCAGAATAGCATAGGACGAGGAGCGCCTTAAGAACATCAAATCAGAAGTGTTGCCATATATTCTTAATGTGATTCATAGAGGTCAATTTTGGGCTCATCTGCCGTGATTATCTTACAACTGTGTTGAAACACGATTTCTCTAGTGGTTGTCCTGTCAACAGATGTTTTCCACTGTGGATCTCTGCAGCTCCGCCAAGGTTACCTAGACCATTACCCTACAGCAATTTGAGTCGAATGTTTGGGTTGGCTTTGCACAGTTATGCACCAAGGCTTAAATTCCCTGCACAGTCTTGTCGATCTTGCTCATGCTCAGTCACATTGGACATACATTTCTAACTCTTGTCACAACTTAATTTGGATCTGAACTTTGTGTGGTTCATCCATACCTTGATTTTACACCAGTCGTTTAAAGCTGTGGCTGTATTTTTAGAGTTGTTGTCCTGCTGGAGGGTGAGCCTCTGCCTTTGACCCTTTCCATACAAAGAAATGCTTGAGTATATCCAACAAGCCTCTTGTTTGAATGGAGGGTCCTGTCCAGACAAAGAGGCTGCAAAATCAGCAACATTTGAAATTTACTACAAGTTTGAAGAAGGTGGAAGTTTGCCCCCATGGTGTCTCCATTTGGAGAGCCCTATCTGCATGTCAGCCAACGTAAATTTTATCATTCTTCACATGCATAAGCTAACACAACATTTTCAGTCATCTGGGTTGTGTCATGTTTCATGCTATTATATTTATTGTGGATTTTACACTTACATAAGTTGCACGAATCCTCTGTCATTATTCCAGAAGAAAATGCATCTTTTCTCCCTCCTGTCTTCAGTGTTTACACCCTGTTCTTCTTCCTTCCTTCTTCTAACATTTTTCTTCAGTGAGAGCATTGCATACATTACAGCTCCTCTGGCCTCATGCAGTTTTATCTTCACACTAAAACTTTTCGGTCCAGATAACTTATCCAGCTTCATGTATCTTTAGTCCAAAATCTGCTGGATTCTCTAATGCCCTTTTCGACGATAGTCCTGTTTATTTAGCTCCATCCATCACATGCATTAGTTTTGATCAGCATTCCTGCCTCTGCTGAAGAAAACAGCCTGGTGCTCCAGTCACCATGTTAACCGTTAGGGGTGTTTGCAGGCTGGTGTTAATCTCAACTTCTTGTAACACAAAGCATTTTGTATTTAGGCCAAAAAGTTTTAGTTTGGTCTAATCTGACAAAAGCTTCTAATTTCACATGTGTGCAACGTCCACTAAAAGGTTTGTGATAAAATCTAAATCGAGCTTCGTATGTTTTTCTTTAATCCATGATTTTTATTTCTTGGTAATAATTTGTAAAGTTGCACAACAACCAGTTTTACTTTCAACAGATTCTCCTGCCTGACATCTAAATTTAAGCAGCTCCTTCAGAGTTATCCATTGGTCTTTGGCAGATTTTCTGTTTAATGATTGTCTTGCCTGTAATAAGTTTTGCAGTGCTGCCATGCTTTTTCCATTTCAAAGTAAGGGGATTGAAAGATGCTCTCTAAGATGATCAGAACTTGGGATATAGACTTTTCAGCCAATTAAATTCAGTTTATTTTTTGTTTTCTGACAAAATTGTATTTATTTTGAGATTTAATTACACACAGTGACCTCAACAGGCCATTTATTGCACTGGACTTTATTTAGGGTTTTTAAAGAAAAGGCGGGTATAAAAAAACAACGGCACAAAATTAGGAATAGCCATTGTTCCTGTACTTCACACTTCTTTAATCATGTTTTCTTTATGAGGCCAGACTGTTATGAATACTGGAATTTCTTAACTTCTTTCTTAAATACACACTAGCGGAAAGTGCCTCACTGCTCCAAGCATCCAGCTGTTCCTGTCTCCTCCTGCCCCTCAGATCCATATCACGCTTTCAAACTCAATCTGATCCCCTCAACCCACCACCAACCCCCCAGTCATCCCGTTTCCGGATCTCAATCTATAATTGAAGATGCTTAATCATATTGCAGTGGAGCAGAACACATGACACCGGAGCTGTGAGGGCTCAGAATACACTTTTACGTGCCATGGCATCTGACCAATACTGTATCTGTTATGGTGAAAGAAGAGGAGGGAGGGGGTTAAAATGTTACACTGTCTCTGCTAATTGCTAAGTCAATTAGCATATGGTCTTACTCTTAGCTCAGGCAAATGATAATGAGAGATAATTAGGGGGGGGCAGGGATCCTTGAGGAGACTAGGAATGAATATATGCACTTATAGTTTCCATAAATTGGCACCCAAGAGGCTAGAAATACCTCTTTTAAGAATGAATGAAATTATCTCTTTCTTGTTTCCTTTCTGATTTTTTTCTGAATCTCACACACTCTGTCAGATATCTGTCAAATCCACATTGTAAGACTTTAGGGATTGATGATTATCCTTAATTTATAGAGGCTCTGACACTCCGGGGTTTTGATTAGGCTTCCCTGTAAGAGTACATCCCTGCATGTTATGCAACAACAACAACAAAAAATCACATTTTCCGTAATATATTGCTTTAAAGGGGACATTTTGCATCCAATCGAGTCAACCTAACACTCTTATTTTAGGATTGTGGGAGGAAGCTGTAGTACTCGAAGGAAACCTACGCATGAGAGTGCAAAAAGTACTGAGCATGAGATGGAGCTCGAAACAATCCAAAGTCTTACTCTCTCTAATAGTTTTTATTCACCTGAGTGTAATTAAAAGTACACTACTATTTGCACTACCTTGTATATTTTACTTTTTATATTTTTTATCCATATTTTTATTCTAAGTGTATATATTAGTCTATTTTTTGCATGCCTTATACCCACAGTGTTTTTAGAGATTTTTATAATTTTATTTACCTATTCCATATTATATGTTTCATGATGCACGACTGTACCATAATAAATTCCTAGTTTGTGAACTCCTTCACTAACAATTGCAATAAACCTGATTCTGATTCTGATTGTGTACCTTTAGATGGTAGAAAATATGCCTGTACCTTCAACAAAAGTTCCCCTGTGATCACCACTTCCCACCTTACCTACCATAATGCCAAATTCCTCACTGGTCCTTTTTTTTTCAACTTTTCTAAATGTTACTAGCTGCTATAAAGGATAAAGGAGGAGCAAAAGTATTCCCATATGTGTGTCCACTCTGGAAAAGAGTGAAGATACGGGAACTGAAATGATAAAAAAATGGAAAATAAAATAAAAAGGACAGAACGATCTAAAAGATGACAAGAAAATCCTAAAATTCAAATTTGTAAGCAATGTACATGAAAAAAAGCACATAAAAAAGCACATTTACTAAAGAATTCCCACAGCTTTGGAAATCCTATGTACCGGTAGTTACCTTTGCAGTTTTCTTTGTAGTGTGTCTGACAAAGTGAAACGTATAACGACAAGTCCAACAATTTAGAAGCCCTTATTACCACATTTTCTCATTTCCTCCGACTAAAGATACCTTAGAAATTTAGCTTAATTTCAAATTATCCTAACCTATGACTAGACTGAGTAGTGAATTGCCAAAATAAAAAGTAAAGAGAGATATGACAGCTTTTTAGAAACTTGTTCTAATGATTGTTCTAAGCTTTTCCATTTAGATAATATAGATAATCTTAGCTCCTAAATTGCCTTTTAATCCCAGGATTCACTAAGGTTAATGAAAATCTTCAGACTGCAAGGATACCCTTCCTGATAAAAACCC